TAGTATTGTACTCGTGCGATGCATAGGGAGATTTATTTTATATAGCAGTGCAAATTTTTGACTCATTACATTTATCATAGATAAATAAAATGTATATAGTAATAAATATATAATAATAAATTTATTTTCCTAAATCTAATCATTTACCTCGACTCCAAACTTGGGGTGTGGAAATTGAATGAGAATGTGAGATTTTTAGATTGGATTAAGATGAGACATTTTTAATGGAGACAAAGGGGGTACTTCACATCATCTAAACCTATAATTCAATATCAATCACATAATTCTACTTTTTTAAACAACACCACTCTATTATCCCAACTTGAGAGACAAACGGACTACTTCTCATCATCTCAATTTCTTTTGACAAATTTGACTAACATAACAATTATGCCCTCTGATGTGTCGACGAATTCTCATTTTTCTTATTTGGGTGTCACGTTTAAAAGTTCTCATTCCATTTTAGAAAATATTTCACTCTCTTTAATTACACATTTGTTCAAATTTTTATTTTCTACTCATTACATGTCAAGTCTCACAATTTTCCTTCCTCCAACTTATCTCCATTTAATTACTTTCACTTTATATGTTTATTTTTTTCTAACCCAAATTATATTATTTCACTTTATATGTTTAATTTTGTATTTCCTCTTTTTTAACCCAAATTACATGATATAATCACTTGCCTAAAATAATCGTGTCATTTACTCATGGGAATCTTCCCACGGGACGGTGAGAGTATTTATTTAAGCCAATAAATCATACTACATATTTTTTTTTATATTTTCCTTAACACAAATTTTCAAAGACTTAAACTTCTAACTCAAAAACGTAAAACCTCTCCAATAATCTCCTTCCCGCGCCATATTCTAGCTTTGCATGAGAGTAGTTTAAGGCATTTATTCTTAATTGGCACCATTTGAATAGACTACTTAGCTAATGTCCAGGAAATTTCAGAAGTCATAAAAATTTTGCACCTCATTCATTTCGTTTAAGCGGATTGCTCACGGCCAGAAGCTAGATTAATATAAGTTGATGGTTAATTGTGGCAACTCATGTAATACGTAGTATAATTAATACTACGTTTACCATAGCAAGTACACTGCCACGGTGTTTTTACAGCTCTTATATCATACATCCGGGTGTAGGTACACCCGGCCCAACTAAAGAACACAGTCCAATAATTAATACAGACCAAAAAAAATTGGTGGCATTTTTGTAATTTATGCGAAAAATCACGATTTCCTTAATTTTTTTAATTTTTTACTTCATTAGAAATTTATTTTTTAAAAAATATCGTCCAAATTTTCTAGCTTTAAATCTTTATAATCTGATTTTTTTACTAATCAAGAATGAGATATATTAATAATTAAATTTTTGCATTCATAGACGTTAAAATTAAAATATCACATTACAAGTAACAAATAATGCAGCATATATTTTTAAAATTAAAAATTTACATTACAATTTACAATAACTAACAAAAAATGCAGTATATATTACTTAAAAACACCGCAATATATAGGGAAAACTAATAAAAATACTCCAAACTTTGAAGGGGTGTGAGGTAAACACTCCAAACTTGCATATGTAATTTATATACCCCAAAACTTTATATAAAAAATTATTTTTACACCATTAGTATGTATTATTTCTTTCAAAAATGTAAATTTATGGGGTTAGTTGCATAATTTAAGTAGCAAATTAAAAGTGTTGCAATTATATAGATTGAGGGTAACATTATTAATTTCGCGATGGAATTTTAGAATGTTGAGTGTGTCTTCATGAATTCTAAAATATTTTAAATTTTGCAATTAACACCATAAATTTATATTTTTGAAAAAAAATAATACTTGACTATGGTGCTAAAGTAACTTTTTATATAAAGTTTGGAGTATTTAAATTACATATGCAAGTTTGGGGTATTCATTTTTCACCCTTTCAAAATTTGGGTTATTTTAATTATTTTTCCCCAATATATATCATATACTTGTGTATATGTACTCCCGGTATTTTTGTAATATATACAAACTTAAACTTTAAGCTGCCTAATAATCCCTTTTGTACGCATGAGCAATTGCCCCCTACTCCTGAGGTCTTCTTTTACTTTCTTATGTAGCTAGCAAGTCAAGGTCTTTTCGTCTTTTTTCTTTTGACGGATCGGAGGGCGTAATTGTTATGTTAGTCAAATTTGTCAAAAGAGATTGAGATGATGAGAAGTAGTCCGTTTGTCTCTCAAGTTGGGATAAAAGAGTGGAGTTGTTTTAAAAAATAGAATATGTGAGATATTGAATTATAGATTTAGATGATGTGAAGTATTCCCTCTGTCTCTATTAAAAATGTCTCATCTTAATCCAATCTAATAATCTCACATTCTCAATCAATTCCCACACCCCAAGTTTCGAGCCGAGGTAAATGATTTGATTTAGGAAAATAAATTTATTACTAGTATTATATATTTATTAGGGGTTTTGTCCTTAATATTACTAATATATGGGTAATTGTCAAAAAGTGACCTTTTATTTAATTTTCCAAAAAAGTGACTGAAATTAACGGTGCTACAGTAACGGTGCTACAGTGACGGTGCTACAGTGACTGTGCTACAATGACATTATTTGCAGTGATACTACTAAGACAATTTTACACTGACAACGTCATAGTGACTCCATTCCACGGTATCTACCGCCCATTCATCGGCCACAGTGACACCATCACCATTGACACCGCCACCGGTGACACCACCATAGTGACCCGTCATCGGTGACGTCGCCACAATGACAAAATGATTCCTGCCACAGTCATGTTGCCGCCACCGCCGAACACAAACACCAGCCACTAGCCCCGCACCCAACCGCCAGTCAGCAACCCTAGCCCAAATCGTCACCGCCGCACCACCTTACATGCATATCGAACAGCCGCCCCAACAACCAGAACGTAACCCCATACCCCTCCTCACCCAACCTAAACTGCCCCACCCAACACCGCCCCTACGTCAACCTCCGGCACCACCACGCTCCATCCCCACGCCCTAGCCCCCAACCCCTCCCCAGCTCCACCTACCTCCCCTAGCCCCAGCCCCGAGCCACCTCCCCATCTCCCATGACCCGACCTCATCCCCCACTCGACCACCAGCTTCCCCACCCATCTCCCTGACCCATCTCATCTCCCCAGCCCCACAACACCCCCACAGCCCTGCCCAGCAACGACACACCCCAGCCCAACCCAAACACGCCGCACCACAACACCACCCCAAAAACGCCGCAACAGAGCCCCACCAACAATGCCGCATCACATCCCCTCAAGCATCGCCCTACCTTTCATCCTTGCCCCCGTGGAACTCAGATCTGAAAATCATCTTGGATCTCAGATCTAGTTATCGATGAAGAAGATGGCGGTTTGGACCGTCGAAGAAGATGGCGGCTTGGACCGCCGAAGAAGATGGCACCATGGCCGTGCGAAGAGAGAAGCCTTAGGACTTTCGACGAGGTGCAACAGAGAGGAAGACCGGCGAAGAGAGAAGCGTTCAGACCCTGTGTTGAAGGAAGATCGGCTGCTAAATGTTGCTCCGGGCGTGGGAAGAGAGATCGATGGAAGAAGCTTCCCAGAGAGGGATATGTCTTGGACGGAAGAGAGAAGCTCGAGCTGTTTTGACGGGAAGGAGAAAGGGAGCTGTTTTGACGGGAAAGAGAAACGGGAGGGTAAGTTTTGTGTCAATTCTAAAAAGAGTAATATTTTTGTCCAATGAAAGTTGGGGAGTAATATCTATGCCATTCTTTCTATTTATTACTATATACATTTTATATTTATAAATCTCCCTGTGCATCGCACGAGTACAATACTAGTTAATATTAACAACGTAAAAGTTGTTAGATTAAACTATTAAAGTAGTTGCATTTTAGTTGATTTTACTATATTTGTCACATTATCATATTTATTAACCATATTTTTAAATATTAATATTAACAACATAAAAGTTGTTAGATTAAACTACTAAAGTAGTTGCATTTTACTTTGACGGGTAAGTTTTATACCTAGATTGTTTGAATTGTGTGGTGCTTCTACTTTGACATGTAGGTCTTTTCATCACCTTTGTGCATGTCATATTCTCAATTTACGTGTAAAAGACGGTTTAACCGTATTAGATGATGTTATGGAGAACGTGACGGGGGGTATTAGACTGATTTGGGGTAATAATCAACTGAAAAGGCAGCTTGATGTCTACTGGGATACTTCTTCCATAGCTTTTCAAGTTCCAGTTGCCTTCTAAAACAGTAAGTTCCCAAGAACAAATCTAACAATTAATCTGACCAAAAATTATGATTTTGATCAAATTAATTCCAGAAAAATTCAAGGAATCTCAAGAACAGAATTGCGCCAAGGCTCTGATACGAATTGTGTGATTTATGCCCAAATACAACAATCGAATAATCTAATAATATTGAATAGAATTTAAAACAGTAGAAGAGAAATTTCTCAATAATGTATACCGTGTATATAGAATGATGTTTCCATGAAGAATAATTACACAATACTTGAACGTATCAGCTAGAGAAAGAAATTCTAGTCTACTGACTCTACAGAGAATAATATGTGAAATAGAATGTGTAGAGACTTAGAGCTGATTTCGACCAACTCCTTCTGAATTTATAGTGAGTAGTTCAACCAGCCCTATTACAATTAGGAAACAACAGCTTTAGGCGTGTGGGCTTATTAGAGCCAGATTAAATGTGCCTAATTCTCTCTCAGCTAATCTAATTAAAATACAAAGACTCATTAATTAAATTACAATTAATTTGAACACAATAAAATAATATTCTAACAATTTCGCCTATTTTAAAAAATTCTTCCATGAAATCACAAAAAAAATGAACATAATTGGCGTTTTGAAATTCTTTGAAAGCACTAGCGACTAGCGAGATTAACAACTGCAAAAAAACATGTAACTAGTAAGTTGATAAACATGAGCAAAATATTGAGTAGCATTGTGGAAATAAACTAACATGTTGCAAATCTTTTTCATGATGTCTAACTCTCACAGTTCTATAATATATCCACATGTTTCTTTCAAAAAAGCAGGCAAACAGTAACGGGTCAGGCGGGTCCCACACGGTAAGGGGCCTAGTCAGGTCGAACGGGCCCAGTCCGTCCCTAAAAAGAATAAAGAATAAAGTTGTTCAAAGTGGTTAAATGAACAAAGAAAATGTCCAAAAAAATCAGTTTGTACCCACTTTTGTACTCACCCCCTATTTTACCTGTGCACAGGCAATTCATTAAGAAGAAGTCAACATTTTGTCTACGTTTGTCTGAGTACACAAACAAAATAAGGGGTGGGTACAAATGTGTGTACAAAAGTGGTACAACAAGAAGGACTGACTTGTGATTGACCCTTTGCTCGCTAAGGATCTCTTGTGAGTTGTGAGCCAACTTATAAAATATGAAATGAGTGATCAAAAATGAAAGGAGTAGTTGAAGCATTTATTTCAGAATCCAATCATACGCCTAAAAATTTATACTCCGTATCTGAATAAACTTGGACCCAGTAGTATATGATTTAATTTACACCCCTAGTTGCTTGGAGTATAATGATTCAATCCACTTCCTGTTGGAGCCCTGCAGGCAGCAATGCTTGGACCACGAGGCAACTCCAGACAGTGGATGCTCGATGGTATATATATCAAGCAAGCAAGCAAGCTTTATGAGGATATTTTGAGACAGTTATCACAAGGATTGGAACCATTTCTGCAAGCACTGCGGTTAATTAACTCCCCAAAGTGTCCAACTAATGCTTGCCGACGGCATTCATTCTGCAATTTTAACCAAGTCAAAAATCACAATGCTGGGTAGATATCATATTATTCCCAAAGTTGCAATTGAAACAAATGAAGGCGTTCTTCAATTTTGGATAAAACCAACTCAATCAGAATAGAAAAAACCCAGTTTTTGTTCTAACTCTGACCTGTTATACGATTAGGCCCCAATTTGTTAAAAAGTTTAAAAAAAAAACTCCATGCTTTGTTTCCATCCGTCACTTCAGAGTTCTGAAACCCAAGAAAGCAAAACTGAAAGCCCTAACTCTCGTTTCTGATGTTTTGACTATGAATGTTTCTGACTATATATATTGGGACATCAATTATATAACATATAAATATATAATAAATTAATGGTTTAAGAATTTATTATTAAACTAATAGGAGCATATCAGTATATTACCGGTAAATAAATTAATGGTTTAATAGTCCATATCACCATGTTCACCGTATTTAATAAATTAATGGTTTTATAGTATATATAATTAATACTATACGCACATATATATATATACAGTACTACTTAATTAATAAAAATATAAAAAAAAATCCACTACACCGCTAGAGAATATAAAAATATAAAAAAAATATAAGTTTGTTCATCGCTTCGTCTGTGAGTTCTGAGTTCTCTACGACTCTGCTTCGGGATTTGTATTTAATAAGAAGGCCACCGCCTTAAATAATTAATTAAAGGAAAAATTGAAAATAATAATCTCAACTATTGTTGGTCCGCTAACAATAATCTCAACTATTGATTATTTTTGTATAATCCCATCTATATGGACCATCCGCCAAGAATGGTCCATGACCGCATATTACCTACTATAACAGGTGAATTTTTAATGGAAATTAAGCGTAAAATTGAAATTTAGGAATATTTTTAGGGATTACCTGCTATATCTCTTTAGAAACTATAAGAATTTGTTTATAGTCGATCACGTCGGACCATTATTGGCGGAAGGTCCCTAAAGTTGAGATTATTCTGAAATAATCGATAGTTGGGATTATTATGAGCGGACCGCCAATAATTGGGATTATTATAATCAATTTTTCCTTAATTAAATGAGTTACCTAAAAAATATAAACGTTAATCTACTCAAATGAAATGCTCCTTAATATCTTATTAGTGTAGAACGATTATTCATCTTCATTTAGCCATTTTATCAACAGCAACAAAAATACATGGTAATTTTGAACAATTTTTGTGCTTTTTTAGGGTTCATGAGTTCATCTACAAACAATGGGTTAGTATTTTTAAAATGAATACGAAGTATATTATATACAGAAATGATAAAACTGATAGGCACTAAAATAGAAGCACCAGACTGACAGTGCATTTGTTCGAAAAGCCTAAAAGGAGAGAGCACCTTTAGTTCACAGTAGCTCTGCATCTTCCTAGCTTGATCCATAGCCAACTTCAAACTTTCCCTTCTATATCCTTGACCACTTCTTAACATGCATACCAACCGGCTGAAATCCTTCTTCTGATATAAAACAATACATGTTGCAGGGAGGTTATCCCTCCCTGCCCTTCCAGCTTCTTGATAATAGCTTTCAATTGATTTGGACATTGTGTTGTGAACGACAAACCGCTGGAAAGTTAAAGCATAATAGGTGATCTGAACCCTGAGATTAGGTTCATAACAAACTAGTGCCTTTATTCCTAGCCTTTAATTTCAATCGGAGGGATTCATCCTTATTCATATAATCATAATAATATTTCCCCATGTTGTTTTTTACATGAGAGGATAAGTTCACATGATGCATTGGGAACAGATGTTTCATATATGGTAAACAAAAGAAATAATGTGGAAAATCAAATGCTGTGAATGAACAAGATAATAGAGAAATTGTGTATGAGACTATTAATGTCAGTTTGGATGACCCAGTCTGTGCACTTGATGTATATCTAAGATTTTATGAGAGTTGAAAGAATGGCATAGTATGTGATTATACATAACATTTAAATCACCTTTGAGTTGTTTCTAGAAATATTTTACTCATGAAGATATAGACCAAGTCGTGGGCCTCCCCCTCCGGAATTTTCTATACAGACGGACCCTTATGAAATTAGAAAAATCGAAATAGAGACTCACAACATCAGGTTTGTCTATTCCCATCCCAAAAGCAATAGTGGCACACACAACATCAATTTCTCCAGCACGCCAACTCCTTTGAGCTGTGACCCTCTGACGTGCCGACAGCCCAGCGTGATAATATGTGGATTTAATCTTACACTTTTCGTTCAAAAACTTTGAAACCTCCATGCACTCACTTTTTGAAAGGCAGTAAATAATCCCAGAAAGTTTCTTGAATCGATTGGCTAATACTTCTCCAAGCTGCTTTAGCGGCTCCCTGCCCTTTCCAATCACTTCATACTTTAAGTTTGATCTATCAAAACTTGTCTCAAGTACAAGAGCACGAGGGATGTTTAAGGTCTTCAAAATATCCTGCAAAACGAAGCATCAGAGTAGAAACTTCAGATGGGTTTTTTTATGCATGTTTCTGATGACTTACAAAAAAACGTTTTTTTTCAAACAAGTGCTCTTTAGAAAGCACCAATTTGATGCTTCTTAGTTGAAAAGTGCTTCTAACGCCATATATTGATTATTATCAATTCAGCAAATCACTATTATTTCATTAATGATAGGATCAATATAGATTGCTACAGAAATTTGGAAAAAGTGCTTTTGTCAGATCCAGAAGTAAGGCCAGACTGACTCTCTGATTCACGCATGAAAATTATAGAGAACTTTTGTCCTTACTTCACGCACTGTGTGGGTTGCTGTAGCAGTTAATGCCATCACAGGTACATAAGGGAAGTTTCGCTTGAGACAACTCAAGAGTCTATAATCTGGTCTGAAATCATGTCCCCATTGGCTGAAAAAACATAGAAAAGCAAAATAAAAACTTTATCAGACTGCCCAGCAAACCAAGTCACATTATAGTGAGATTGAAATCTTGGAACTAAATATAATTGCGATTACTGTTCTTCTTTCTTGATTTTTTAGATACAACATGCAATTCGTTTGAACTATATAGGCCAATGCAGTATTTTTTGGAAACATACTGTTATAGTTTCTTAAATTTTCTGATGCCAAGTGCATGCAATTGATTTATAACTCATTTAATTCCTTTACAATTATATATGAGCTGGTAAATTATTTAACTATGAAGTACACTGAAGCATACCTTACACAATGTGCTTCATCAATGACAAACCCAGCTAAATTTCCCTGTATTTTGTATAAGAAAATGTGAGAAACATCATCTGGGATTCAAATGGATTTGAAAAGTGCATCGAATTGGAAATTGGCATTCATCACTGCATTAAAGAAATACCTTCCTGTGTAGGGAATTAAGCACCTCTTGAAAAGGTAGGTTTCCAACTATCCTCTCAGGAGTTGCATAAAGGAGCTTACATGAAGGTTTATCTTTCCTATAAGTTTAATAATAATAAAACTTTAGTAATTAAACTCAACTATTATATTGAATCACTGCCAAGATTCTTTACGAGACCTATGAAAACACAGTTTAAAAGAAGCAATGTCAACTACAACGTAGCACCAGGGAGCTACAGTCAAGCATGTGTGGAAAGTCGGAAGCGGTTTTACAACTAAGCAATGAAAACTAGAAGGCCTCATTAGGTCATCATTCACATTTGCACGCGTATTCCATGCACAAACACCTGAAAGATCATATAGACAGATCATTTTTATGGTTCTATTTTCCATATCCTCTCTACATTCTTCCTAAGGACTTGGAGAAGTCTTTTCACGAGTTCTGCTTGGATGTTTCAACAAAACATCATCAACCCCTAACATCACATAAATTTTAGAACATAATCCCTCCATCCCACTCGACAACACAAATCACATTTTAAGTGGTTTGATTGATCATGAAAATAATTCCTGGCTGAGAATATTTAAATCAGTATTAATATTTGATTTTGAATATTTAAACTACACTAAAACAGAATTTGAATTTTATAAAAAATTGATAATTAAAACATGAGAAGGAGGAAGTAGTATATTTGATTCAAAGCAGATTCCTGGCCAAACATTTTGTCAGTGGTCACCCTGCCAGTCTGATACTCCATAGTTTTGTATTTAATTTTCATAATAAACTCTTTGTTTCAGCATAACAGTTTAGATGTAACCTGTTCAGCAAATGCAGCGGTCGGAACAGTAGAACTTTCATTCCTTAAAAATCGAGCATTTTCTTCTGCAGGAAATGCAGCGGTCGGAACAGTCTCTCTGTGCTTTAATGCAGGGGTAAGACTGCCTACATCCGACCCCCCCTACCCCACCGTAGGTGGGAGCCTTTGCGGCACTGGGGTAAATGAAAATGAAAATTCTTCTGCAGGAATAGTAACGGTGTTGTCTGAGGTAAGAAGCAAAGTGGGCTGATGAGCTTCTCTGATTCTTAACCAGAGAAGCTCATCATGTTCGGGGATTTTCATAATGTTCCGACCGCTGCAGAAGAACATGCCTTTCCCGTTCAATGTCGTTTCACAATAACCATTGAACCTTGCCTTAATTCTTGCAATATAGCAGCTGCTTGTGAGTAACTCTGCTGAGAATTCAAAAACGTTGCTGGTATTCCAAACTTAAGGTTTAATGTGATTATCTGATCTTGAATGAGTGACAGTAGAGGTGATACTACAATTGTAACACCTGGCTGCAGGATTGCAGGAAGCTGCACAACGTAAAGGAAACCATAAAACTCAACAACTTGTACAAGCACCAAAAAGACTATTCTAATTTGACTTTCCAGGGAACTATCTACATATTGTTTGAAAAGTTAAAACAGCATGAATGTGTGATAGGCCCAATTTTATTGTTTAATTCTGATAATTTGTCAAGTTTATTTTGGGCCTATTATAATTTACTTTTGGGAATTAATTACTAATTTGGACTTAACTTACTTTATTATTAGGTAAGGATGAAATTGGAAGGAATTTTAACTCTTGGGGCCAATTTGCAAGAAGTGGATAGTTAAAGGAAAAAAACTTGAAATCAGCACATTAGCTATCTAGTTGAGCCGTATACCATCTCCCTAAGAATAGAATTGGAAATTTCAACCTCAAGCCTTGAACATCATGTGTATTCCTTCTCTGACCCACGGAATTTCAGCCTTGATCGAAATTAATTGTGTAGCCGTTGGGGATTAACTTCCCAAATTTGAAGGCCTAAGAATCTGCCCTATTCATCCTTTAAAAACTGTTAGGTACCTAGCTAATTCAAGATCTACTTCAAGAAACAAGATGAAGAACAGAGATGTGCGTACAACTGAAAGGGTTCATATAACAGAAAATAGAAAGAGAAAATACAAGATAGTTCCAAGTCCCAAGTCCCAAGCCCAAAGGATAATTCCAGCCTCCTTTCTATTCTCCCCTCCACCTCTATTTATACTAATTCTAATACTCTTCTTATTTCTTATTATTCTATGTAGGTCCCTAACACTACTCCCCCTTTGACAACCACCTTGTCCTCAAGGTGGGTCATAGGAGACAGACCTGACGAACCGCTTCTTCCTCATCTTTGCGCCTCATCCTTCCCAATATCTTCCAAATTTCAGGACCCTGAACTTCATGAACTGAACCATTTCCATCACTTTTACCATAGCAAGCAGCTGAAGCAAGGGCATGGTTACATGATGCTTCACTAAAACCTGGTCAGCACCAAGTGCTACCACCCCTACAGAGAATACAAAGTCAACTTCAGGACTGTAAGTCTCAGTCTTCACATCAGCAACCCAGGAAGATAAGACAGAACTCAGCCCACTGCCATCAGGCCCCCTCCATGTGCACAAGTCTTTTCCCCTCAACCGCATCTCGTGCCCTTCTTCCATTGTCTTGTGATTAAGGGTGTTCAATATGATTGCTGTCTCCACTGCAGGTTTCCCACACTGTTTATTACCAAAGATCACATCAATCCAATATTGAAGATTTGAGCTAACATATTCACTTTCAAAGGTCGCCCTGTGCTTGATTATAACTCCTTTCAGAAAACTATTAACCCCTCGAAGGATCACCACATCACCTGTTTGCTCTCCATTTTGTTTTGGACTTGGTGCTCCAACTGGTTTTGCAAAATCCCGGTAAGTAGACGGTTTAATCAAAACCAGAGCTTCTATTGGACCATCCGCCAGAACCCAAGGAGACACATGACACTCGGTTAACTCATAAAATCTTCCAGCAAGTGTGTTGAGAGCCATCAAGTACTCGACGTTTGTATTTTCTTTTCTCTTCCAACCTTCCCTAGAGATTTCACCCGACTGGTATTCAAGAGAAAACTCATCAAATTGTAGCCCTTAATTGCAGAATCAGATGAGTCCCGAATTGCAGAAAATATCAAATTGTAGCCCTTAATTGTCATCCCCTTTTCCTTGCTAAGTTGCCCCGGAATAATACAACACCTTCACCCTTAATGGTATGGTTATGACTGTCACCTATTTCCCAATCCTTCTCTATTGTTCTGAATATCTTGATCCCCTTTTAAACCAATTATAAAGGCCTCTTGGAAGATAGCAGGACTGTTTTCATTGTTAAGCATCAGAAACATGTCAGCTTTATCATCCGTAGCATAATCCTCCTTTTCCTTCCAATTCTGAATAACTCTTACCCCCCAACTCATTTAGAATATATCTTATAAAAGTAGCACCCTCACATCTGAAACTATCAAACTTGTTAAATGACTTCATTCCTAAGTAATGTTTAATGAATGACAGTACATCATTTCAGATTTTAAAGCATTTGGCCAGATCATTTTCTGTATGAAACTAGAAGTCATCGTGGACTTTACACAAGCATCAGTGTCACATGTGTGTAGAATCTTGAAAATATTGGTTCCCGAATCTGACTTGAAAGACTTGTATTTGAGAAAATGAGCAATTGTGACAACTTCCGGTCCAATGTTCACTGACAATTTCTCCGCGCTTCCCTCATCACCGTCAGTGACTTTCTCTGCCCTAGGCGATGAAGAATAAGCTCACGAAGAAGTCTGAGAACTGGAAACATCTACTCCAGATGAAGCTTGCAAACTGGGAAAAAATGTTGGCGAGGAATCCTGCGAAAAACTGAGTGTAGCTGTTTGTGAGGAAGATGGTGAACAGTAAGAATCGACGGGTGATGAATATGAGTGGTAAAGATCGGTGAGTGAGGAATCCATCGAACTTGGAAATTCTCCTATCGATTGTGTCGCACTTTGACAGGAATTGAGATCTGATGAAGGATTCTGGGAAAAAATCTGCGAAGAAACCTGCGAACTGGGAGGAACTGTTCGCATCTGCGAACTGGAAGGAACTGTTCGCAACTGCGAACTGGGCTCTTGTGCTTGCGACGATGCGGACGGACTGCGAGAAGAAGTTTGCGACCAATCCTGTGAACTCAAAGAAACAGTTCGAGACTGCGAACTGTGAGACGAAGTTCGCGACTTACCTCTGGCTTCAGACGATGTAGGACTCTCATGTACAGTGTGACGCCTTGAAGTTCTTGATTTTCTTCGTTCATGTTGAGCGTTCTGCTGCAGGATCAATTCGCGCCATTCCGCCATCTCTTTCCGCCTTTCCTCGCGATAGCGTTCAAAATTGCGTTCCAGGATCTCCAGTCTACTTTCCATCGTTCCTTGAGTAGCTGACGCTCTGATACCAATGTTAGGTACCTAGCTAATTCAAGATCGATTTCAAGAAACAAGATGAAGAACAGAGATGTGCGTACAACTGAAAGGGTTCGTATAACAGAAAATAGAAAGAGAAAATACAAGATATTCTCCCCTCCACCTCTATTTATACTAATTCTAATACTCTTCTTATTTCTTATTATTCTATGTAGGTCCCTAACAAAAACACAGCAGCGCAGCAAGACAGGAAGGGGAACGGAGGTGAAAAAAGGAGAGAAAGAAAGAGGAATTCAGCCGCTTCTTCATCGTTCATCTTCGGTTTTTCATTCTCTATTAATTAGTTAGTTTAATTTCAGAATTCCTAGTTCTTGTATCTCAATTTCAGAACTTTTACTCTCATGTTTATGCTATTGAAGAGTGATTCCTTCCATACTTTAAGTATGATTTTTTGCTAGACTTTAACCTGAGGGATTTGGGATTAAAGCTTGGTATTAAGTGATTATCTCGTGTTTGGTTCTTCCATTGTAATCGACAGATTATTTTTCCAATTCAATTTATTTTATGTATTTCATTAATGAATTTTGCATTGAACTTTTGCCTAATTCTTGTTAGGTATCGTGTGATGCACCGACGGGTGAAGCATGATACTTGAGCCCATAAAATGAACATGATTCACCTACACTAGACATAGTTAGGGAATTGTGGTGGATTTCGATCGTCGCTTTTTTGCTAGTTAAGATTAGTGTTGAATTGACAGATTAACACTAGCTTAACCAGTACACGCTAATATCTCGACGGAGTATTAGCATATTTTAGAACCAATTGCCACTTTAATTGCTTGAACCAACACATAGAATATTCTATTGATATCAAGTGTATAACCTGAATCCCGAGGGTCGTTTTATCTATTGTTTTTTCAATTTTTCTCTTCATTGTCTTTTTACTCCTCACTTTTAATCATCCAATCAAATCAAAATCAGTTTTTACTTTGGTTGCTAGAAACTTAAACCATTAAAGTGCAATTTGCGCTACTCGCGGGATCAACCCTAGAGTACTCTAGGTTTTACTACGACTGATCTGTGCACTTGCAGAAAATAGCGGTCAATGTGCAATCCTTCAGGGCTTACCATATGTTGGTTTAAGTGTTTTGTTTTACAAAAAGGTCTGGTCTAAATTTTCAAACTGATGTGAATCTTTTGGACTGATCTTGTCTGAATGTCTTTAGTATTGTCTGAATCTCTTTTGTTTGCTCTGGTCTTAATGTTTCTAGTATGGTATGATCAATATCTTATGATTCTGGTATGGTTTAATTAAGGTAAGAATAAGTACAACAACGACAACAACATTACCCCACTACCGCAAAGGCGCCCCGGCCCACCTACGGTGGGGTACAAGGGGTCGGATGCACACAGCCTTGCCTCTGTACTAAAGCAACAGATAGACTGTTTTCGGATGAACCATGATAAAAACCGCGTCAAAAATTGCATGGACTGACGGGTGTTTCATAACAAAACAATTTGTTACTTAAAGTAAGAATAAGTAACAAGCAAAATCTCAAGGCGGAGGGGACAGTCTTAATCTACAAATTTCCAAAATGGCATGAAAAACAACTCTTGTGCGGAAGGCGTGAAGAAATTATACCTGGTAGCACAAACTTTTACCACCTCCGGTAGGCATAAGAATAAAGCAATCACGTTTTTGCAAAATAGCTTGGCAAGCTTTATGTTGCAATGGTCTAAAAGTGTGGTTTCCAAATACTACAACATTTGCTAACTCGATGTCATCCAACCGCTGCAATTCTCCGTAAGTAAGAGTTACATCTCCATTCACCGACGTCCATAAAGACCTTGAGTTACTTGATAGAGATGAAACTGAACTTCTAGAAACCTTGCTTGCACATTTCTTCATAACACGTGCAAAAGAGGAAGAGCTTTTCAGCACCAATGAAACAACTACATTTTCATGCCTAGACATATTTAATGAGTAGAAAAAAACTCATATATGAACAGTTATGTGTAGTATTAAGTTGTCAACTGGGATTGAGAAAATAACAGCTAGGCGAAAGAGACCAACAGCCAACAGGAACCAAACCTATCAAAATCGATCTGCCATAGGTTGTTTGATTTCAAAAATATGCTTTAAAAACTCATAGAACCAACGAAAACCGATCTGAACATACCAAGAAGGTAAAAACTAACAGAGTGGCTGAAGAGACTGTAAAAAAGAATAACCTAAACCAAACACCCCATAAGAGTTAAAAGTGGCGGACCAAGAACAAATTTAGGGGGCGGGTGAGCTTGTGTCGAGCGTGGCCCAGTTCTTGTCTTATTAATTCAAGTGTTCATATTGAAGAAATTAAACCGCAATAGGATTAAGAAGTGTCTGTTTCGGGTCATGTACAATTTCTAATAGTAGGTCTGGTAAACATCTCATTTGGAGATTTCTCAGTTTGTACAAGAAAAATGAACTTTGAGTAGTATTTGTATCAAGAATGTTCAACTATTGAGCAACACGCTGTGTAAGCTAAATAGAGTTATATCATTTGTATCATAAAAACTAACTATCTAAGTTACCATTCAAAATCAGGATTGTGCCCAACCTTACAAGGTATAGACAAATTTAACAATATAATGTTAAAGTTTAGACAATGAATTTAGGTATTATAAATGTGTGAAATTTAGAAGTTTTATACTTTTATGAAAGATTTTTTTAAAGAATATGCCCATAAAATTTTCATATTTTAAATAATTTTCTATTAAAAGATATCATTGGTCAAACTTGATCACCATTGACCAAGAAAAGTCAATTTGGACAATCTTTTTGGGAGGGAGGGAGTACTACTATTTCCCCAAATTGAAGTTCAACACATCTCACTCTTCCGCAACTCACTTTTTTATTGGAAATCGTCTATATTGATGTCATCGAAATCAGGATCTTTATATAAAACACGGAAAGACAATTAGTGATAGAACACACACATTCCAGCTCAAGTAGATGATATATTAGGTAAATGGGTTCAGTATGGAGACAGTGAAATCTGGAAGACTGATAGGGACCCGAGCTGATTAGAGTTAATAATAGTAATAGAATAATATCAAATAAATTGTTAGTGGAAAAGTGAGGGTTTGGGCCTTGTAATCAGGAGCTTGGGCTGGCTCAAGGATAGAAATATTATATAAAGGGGGAAGGAGCACAGGAAAGGAGGCAGGCAAAAATTGGAATTAGGCTTGGGACTTGGGAGAGGGGACTGATCGAAGTGTCTCGTTCTGATTTCTTCTCTTTCTTTCTGTTATTTCCGGTTCAGTTGTAATCGACCAGACTTTCATCTTCAATAAATTGTAAATTTCTGCTGCTTTTGTTGAGGTATCTATCAATGGTATCAGAGCATTCGCTTCCTGGAGGCAGGAAATCAGAATCATCGATCATCTCAGAGCAACAACAGTCCAGAACAATGGAGGAAGTATATAATTATATATGACGCCTCGAATGGAAACGAGTTTTGACAATATAGAACGAATTATGGAGGAGATGAAAGCATCAATGGAGAAAACAGCAAACATGGCGGCAAACATAACCGCGATGAGCGAACAGTTTCGATCCAGAGGAAGATCACAATCACAGCATTCGCGATTATCGCATTGTCTGGTTTCTAACAGTTCGCAGATGCGAACTAAGTCTTCCTGTGCATCGCGAAGTGCGCAGGTTCAGTCGCGAACTTCCTCTCTCAATTCGAAATCAAAGGTGTCTTCACCAGTCGCTCCTAATCGTTCCAGTTCTCCGTCGCAACTTGTTCCTCATAGATCCTCGTCGCAAGAAGAAGCTTCCAGATCGCAATCGACAACTTCGCCATCGTGAACTGTTTCTCCTAGTTCGAAGTCGCAAACGGCTTCTCCTTGTTCGCAGGTCTTTTCATCCTCAGCGCTAGCAGATTCTGTCCGCTCTCAGGTCTCCTCATTCACAGATTCATCCACTATCAGCTCGCGTCAAATTGTGATGATATCAGGAGACTCCAAATCGCTGAGATATCCTTCTACTAACCCTAGTACGACTCTAGACAGAGGAGACACCATCGGTTCACCGTTGCTATCCGTGTCGCAAGAGTCAGGCAATCCACAGAAAACGCTCTATGAAGGGGAATATGAATCTGCCCTTAATAAAAAGGTTGTTTCGAATATTTGGGAAAGTTCTACATGGACTATCAATATAAAGGAAAATATAAAGGAAACTGAGGGAATAGAAGAGGAGAATGATGGAAAGAAGTTTCAGGGAATCATCAGACTCTACACGGATGGAAGAGGAAAGAAAGGTACCGAATGTACTAGAAACTCTAACACGACGGGAATGGAGGTTCGGGAACTTCATAACACTAAGGTTGAGGCAGTTTATGCTTATCTTAAATGTCCAGATTGTAATGCATCTCGAGATTCTATAGAATTCTTCAACTTGGTTTTGAGTAAAGTTCAACAGATCACTTCTGAGACTGGTATGCATTTGAATGCTTCAACAGGATCTGATCAAAAACTTTTCTACAAGGTTGAGATGGAGCAACAGCCAAACACCAAGGTTTCTGGAATGCAAAGTATGACGCTATGTGGAGATAATGTCAATCATAGCTCAACGGGGGAAGTGGGAAAAAGGATTGAAGTTTTATTTAGCTCAGTGTTCCTTGATGAGCAGATTCAGGTTGAGGAGAATGCTGGTGTTCAGGGCATGAACACAAATTCTGCTATGGCTGAGAATGGATTTACTCAAAACATTGTTTCTCTAGAGACTAAAGCAATTATACCATTCAGAAAGCTTCTGGTGGTTGAGCATAGCCTTCTAATTGATGAGGTCCGTACTTTAATAGATTCTGGCCCGGATGGGAGAGGAAGCAGGGGTTCTGGACTTGGCTTTGCTAATCAGTTAACGCCATCACTGGGATTTCAGTCTATAGGGGAAAGGAAAGAAGAAAAATTCTCAGATTTGGGGCTTTGACGGTTAGAGAATCTGAAATTGCATTACAACATTGTTGTGCACAACTGCTGTCAGTTGTTCAAGTTTATTGAGACAAACCCTGCTATTACAAGTAATTCTGTCATTGATACTAGCTGCCGTGCAGAAAAGTGGATGAAAAATGGAGAACTTTGCATAGGGCTTGTTGCAGACAATGAATTGAGTAACTTGAGTAACATCAAATCTGCATCCAGCACATTGATAATTTCAGAAGTTATAATCCTCGAGGAGTCTTATGAGAACAGGGAAACACTTGTAGCTAGTGAGTGCTTGAAGGCTACTGCAACAAATAAAACTGCACCCGACATATCTTCTACAACAGCACCATTTGTGATTTTGAAGGAACAAGTACCGAAGCTTCTGGTTCAGCAAGCAGTGAGGTATTGGGAAGGAAGAGGCGCCAGGATGAAGAAGAAGTTGTTGGTTAGGGCTGTTTCCTATCACCCACCTTGAGGACAAGGTGGTTGTGGAAGGGGGGAGATATGATAAGGACCCGAGCTGATTAGAGTTAATAATAGTAATAGAATAATATCAAATAAATTGTTAGTGAAAAAGTGAGGGTTTGGGCCTTGTAATCAGGAGCTTGGGTCGGCTCTTAAGGATAGAAATATTATAAAAAGGGGGAAGGAGGGCAGGAGAGGAGGCAGGCAGAAATTGGAATTAGGCTTGGGACTTGGGAGAGGGGACTGCTCGAAGTGTCTCGTTCTGATTTCTTCTCTTTCTTTTTGTTATTTCCGGTTCAGTTGTAATTGACCAGACTTTCATCTTCAATAAATTGTAAATTTTTGCTGCTTTTGTTGAGGTATCTATCAAAGACAACAATGGAAGGGAAAATGAAATACTTGCACAACAAAGAAATACAGTAAAAAGGTGAGACCGTTTGAGAGGGCCTCTCTCTCCTATTTCCAACCCACTGCTGGATTAATTCCCTATCTCCTCCTGCCCCTTGCTTTATTCTTCTGCTCTTCGTGTCCCACCATCCAATCAATTGATTAATTCTCTGCTTCTCCCTTCAAAACTATCAAAAGACTCTTCTACCATCTTCTTATTCCTTCTATTGTAAACCTTTGTGAATTCCCTATTAAGATTTATGTTATGTGTACCCGGGCTCCTATAATCTCTCCCCCTTGGACAAACACCTAGTCCTCAAGGTGGAAGCTGGGAAAGAGCTCCTGGAATTGTGCAAGTTCTTCCCAAGAGTCTTCAAACTTAGGTAATTGCTTCCAATGGATCATGTATTCCCTGACTCTCTTTGAATTGGTCCTTGAATCTACCACCTCCTACGGTTGTGCTTGGAGTTCCCACTCGTCCGTTAAACAATTAGAGAGAGGTTGACAAGGTATGTTTGCTGCAATAGATTTCTTAAGTAAAGAAATATGAAAAACTAGGTGTACTGAGCAAACTTTTGGAAGCTGGAGTTTGAAAGCCACAGGGTTAATTTGCTCATGATTTCAAAGGGCCTATAGTACCTGGGGCTAAGGTTTTGGTTAATTCATTTTGCTAAGCTCCTTAGCTTGTATGGCTGTATTTTCAGGTACACTCTGTCGCCCACTTCCAGTTTCACCCACTTCAGTTCAGCCAGCGTCATTCCTTTCAAGCGTTAACTTAGTGACTTCATCTACTGCAGTTTCTGAAGCGTCTCCCTTGACTAGAGGAGGGTCCTGTCCACATAAGGCTTTAAAAGGGGTGCTTCTCATGGCAGAATGATAATTAGTGTTGTACCAATATTCCGCCCATGGCAGCCACTTCCTGGGTTTGCTTCCAGTGGTACATCAAAAATATTTTTCCACACACCTATTCACCACTTCGGTTTGTCCGTTTGTTTGTGGGTGATATGTGGTACTATGCTTCAGTTGTGTGACTTGTGTCCCTGCCAGTTTGAATAACTCCGACCACCTCCCGTATGA